AGGTACCACAGTCTTGGGAGGGTCATGAAGCTATGCTGAAGCTTTTCTACCCTTGTGAAGTTTGTTGTGAGATAAAATAAGAGCTATGTTCTATCTGCAAGTCTATACCATGTGGTCCTTTCCTCCAAACAGCAGTGCATTGACTTCCTGTACTTTTTTACATGCCACAGGTCAGTGAGAGCGCAAAGAATGATTTGAAGGAAGGTATGAAGCTATACAATTCAGAAAATAATGTTGGACTGAAAAATGCATGGAATATCATTCAAGCAGAGGTAATGTATTTTCTCAATAGAGGAAAATTATGAATTTGGCCATAAAGGCTGCTGCGGTCTGTTAACTGTTGCATCCATACCAAGTCTAAAAGATGACTAATGCGGGCTTTGGTTTCTGATTTTGCACTCTTGAATGTCCAGGGGGTAGTCTGAAACACAGGATCAGAGTGTACCCTGTAAGGTGAAAGATGCTTACTTCTCTCTCAGATTCTCTGTGCCTATCACAGGCACAGAGATGGTCTGAAAAAGAGGAGAAGCAGCAAAACCTGCATAGGTAGAACTGCAGCTTTGGCAGCTAAGCTTTTGCTGTTTGGCAGTTGTGGGCATATTACAGCATCTTTTGGTGTCTATGCTTATGTCTCTGTGACAAGAAGACTAACATATCCCATGCTAAGCTTTTGCTGTTTGGCAGTTGTGGGCACATTACAGCATCTTTTGATGTCTATGCTTATGTCTCTGTGACGAACACTAGCATATCCCATATGCATGGGACCATTTATTTTCTTTTTTTTTTAATGTGAAGTATTTGCTTTTAATGATCACTGAGCACAAAGCATTTTAAAAATACAAAAGTGTTGAGGCAGCCCTTTTGAAAATACACAATGGTTTAGTGGAAGTTTGTGGTGGTGCATGATTCACAAATTGTGCTACTTAAGTTAATTGATTAATTCTTTACTGTTGCGTGAAGTATTTGCTTTTAATGATCACTGAGCACAAAGCATTTTAAAAATACAAAAGTGTTGAGGCAGCCCTTTTGAAAATACACAATGGTTTAGTGGAAGTTTGTGGTGGTGCATGATTCACAAATTGTGCTACTTAAGTTAATTGATTAATTCTTTACTGTTGCCATAGATGAAATGCTGTGGTGTGAATGACTTTACGGATTGGTACCCAGTGCTGGGAGAAAACACTGTCCCAGACCGATGTTGTACGGAAAACTCCCAAGACTGTGGACGGAACTCCACCGAACTAGTGTGGAAAACGGTACGGCTCACTTTTCACTGAATTTCACTGAATTTTTTAGAGTTGGAAGGGACCATAGAGATCATCTAGTCCAACTCCCCTGCTGAAGCAGGATTGCCTAGAGCTAGAGCATGTTACTCAGGAGCATCCAGGCAGGTCTTGAAAATCTCCAAGGAAGGGGACTCCACACCCTCCCTGGGCAGCCTGTTCCAGGGCTCTGCCACCCTCACTGTGAAGAAGTTTCTCTTCATATTTGAGTGGAACCTCTTCTGTTCCAACTTGTTGGGAACCACTGAAAAGAGTCTGGCTCCCTCCTCCTTCAACCCTCCCTTGAGATACTTGTAGGCGTTGATAAGGTCTCCCCTCAGCCTTCTCTTCTCCAGACTAAAGAGTCCCAGCTCTCTCAGCCTTTCCTCATCAGGGAGATGCTCCAATCCTTGAATTGACTTCGTTGCCCTTCGCTGGACTCTTTCTAGTAGTTCCCTGTCCCTCTTGAACTGGGGAGCCCAGAACTGGACGCAGGATTCCAGTTGTGGCCTCCCCAGTGCAGAGTAGAGGGGGAGAATGACTTCCCTTGACCTGCTGGCTACACTCTTCCCTATACAACCCAAGATACCATTGGCCTTCCTGGCCGCAAGAGCACACTGTTTACTCATTGTCATTTTACTGTCCACCAGGACCCCTAGATCTTTCTCTTCAGTAGTTGCCTCTAGCAGGTCCACCCCTAACCTGTACTGGTACCTGACATTCTTCTTCCCCAGGTGCATTTGGCTTGTTGAAAATGGTCAAGCCTTAGGGAGGGATGGGAAGGAAGAAAATAGGCAGAATGCAAATGAAAGAAAATGTGACCTTGGGATTTTAATTTTCATCTTTCATCATTTCAGGGATGTTATGAGAGGGTGATGACCTGGTTCGATGAGAATAAGCATGTCCTTGGTTCGATTGGGTACCTGACATTTTTCTTCCCCAGGTGCATTTGGCTCGTTGAAAATGGTCAAGCCTTAGGGAGGGATGGGAAGGAAGAAAATAGGCAGAATGCAAATGAAAGAAAATGTGACCTTGGGATTTTAATTTTCATCTTTAATCATTTAAGGGGTTTTATGAGATGGTGATGACCTCGTTAGATAAGAATAAGCATGTCCTTGGTTCGATTGGGATGTGCATCCTTATAATGCAGGTAATACTGGTGTGATGTCTCTCAACATGGCTTTGATTTGCTGTCAGCATTCTTGATTCTGTTGTGTGAAATGTGGTGCTTAATTGCTTTCAGTTTGATCACGATCTCAAAAACCAGACTTGTTTTATGAGTTCCTTTAAGGAAGCAAGTCTGTGGTCAGTCCCACAAAAAGACATACTTACAGTGGGGTTTTGCTTATCTGCATTTTGACTTCAGAGCACCACTTTGGAGTTCCCACGTTTAGCCAAATGTTATGCTGTCCCTTAGGGAACTGTTTTTTTAAGTTCTGGAAGCAAGTTCTAGAAATTGCCAAAATGAGTCAAATAATGACCACTGAACTGACTAGGTTAACGTGGTTTAAAAAAGAATCATAGAATCATAGAATTGCCCAGGCCAGAAGGGACCTCCAAAGGTCATCTAGTCCGACCTCCCCGCAGTCAGCAGGGACACCCCCAACTAGACCAGGTTGCCCAGGGCCTCGTCGAGCCTCTCCTTGAATATCTCCAGGGATGGGGCCTCAACCACCTCCCTGGGCAACCTGTTCCAGTGCTCCACCACCCTCACAGTAAAGAACCCCCTCCTAATCTCCAATCTAAATCTGCTCCCCTCCAGCTTGAAGCCATTTCCCCTCGTCCTGTCACTGCAGGCCTTTGTAAACAGGCTCTCCCCAGCCTTCCTGTAGGCTCCCTTCAGGGACTGGAAGGCTGCTATTAGGGCTCCCCAGAGCCTCCTCTTCTCCAGGCTGAACAACCCCAGCGCCCTCAGCAGCTCCTCGTAGCAGAGGTGCTCCATCCCCCTGATCATCCTCGTGGCCCTCCTCTGGACCCTCTCCATCAGGTCCATGTCCTTCTTATATTGAGGGCTCCAGCCCTGCACACAATACTCCAGGTGAGGTCTTACCAGAGCAGAGTAAAGTGGCAGAATCACCTCTCTGGACCTGCAGAAATGCAGAAGCGTCATCATAATCTGTTACGCTTTTGGGGTTGCTGTATCACTGCTGTACTTTTGAGGGATAATATCTGAAATCTGATGTTTTCAGTCACAGTTACCTGGCTAAACAAGTAAAAAGGAAGAGTGAATCATATGCATCAATCCTGAAAAATCGTTGCACGTATAACAATGAGCCCTGAGAGCTTTTTGCCTCCATCTGTTCTCTGACAGATACATCTCCAGATGTGTGCCTGAACAACATACATACAATTTTACCGATCTGTGTTGAAGCTTGAAAAATATGACTAGTGTAGAATGACTTCTGAAACTACTACAGGACAGCAGGGCAGTTTAGGCAACCTCCCTGTACTGAAGCTCTTACTCTTTGTTTGTTTTCCTTCAGATCCTTGGCATGGCCTTCTCCATGACACTCTTCCAGCAGATTCACAGGACTGGCAAAAAATATGATGCCTAAAGCCTCTGAAACATTATCACATCAACCTTTCTGTCTCGTCATAAAAATGAACAAAAGGAATGACCGCAGAGTATCAAGCCTAGCCCTGCTGAGGGAATCCGTCCCATCGACCGATCTACTTTGTTGTTACTTGTCCAGTTATTATCACAACTTGTTATCTGACTATTTTATTTTTTATTTTGTCTGCTTCACATTTGTCATTTATTTGCCAAAGAGGGGGGGAAACCTCCCAAACAAATGGATTTTCTACACAAAATCATAGATCTGCTCTAAGAATGTTTCTTAACTTAAGAAAATGTTTTGCTCTACTAATCCATGCTTTATGTGCAAAAATTATGTGTGTTCAACTTCAAGGGAGAATTCTTCAAAGTCTTCCATTAAGTTTTCAACCCTCATGTCCAATTTACTGGAAGACTCGGAAAAGCCACTCTAACTGAGAGTCCTAGAAATTGGAGCTGCTTTGCTTTGCAGCTTCTTGTACCTTATGGTGTATACTTTTTTATTATGGTATTGATGATGATGATGATTATGATGGATATAGCTTAGAATTTAGTTGCCTGACTTATAACTTCTTACTGGTTTTGGTTTTTCACATTTATTGTACATTAATTTGGGAACCACTGTGCGATCTCCAGAGGACATAGATTTCAAAGTCGACAGTTTGTGCGGGCAAATAAAGACATAACTTTTCTCAAGCCCATGGGGAGGCATCGTCTACCTTTATCAGGGCCTTGTTGCCTGTACTGTAACAAAGGTGGTACCTTCTAAGTCAGAGACTCTTTCCTCAGATGGAATGCAATGCCTTCCCATCGGACCACATGGTGAGCTCCCTACTCCCATGAGGCAAAGTTCCAATGCCTTTACTCGCCCAAAGCAGTGTCTGGGTGCTACTTTAAAAGCTAAAAGTCTACTCGCTAAGCAAGTTAGTGCTCCCTGGCACAAAGGAGAGAGATTGCAGTCTGCCCTACCGGGCAGTTGGCAGCAGACTTCACAGATTGTCTTCTCTGTTTCAAAAAGTTTGCCCAAGGCATGGCATGCTGCTGGACATGAGGGAAGGGGATGGCAATTTGATGGCAACATTGTCATGCCACATGGTATTGTCATTTCATTTCCTCGGGCAGATGAGAGCGCTCTCCCCGAGCTGGAAAAGGTGGTTTGATTGAAGGTGACCATATGGTGCAGGAAAGGGGCAATTTCCAAAGTGACACTCGGAGACAGTATGTGTCACGTCTTCCGTACAGAATTAGGTCTTGCTGATGGATTGCCAAGTGCATCCAGTGGTATAGTTCAGAGTTCACTGCAATGTGTATTTTTAACAACATTCCTGTTAGAAAACTTGAACAACCTTGAACGTGTATTTCTTTAGTTTGAGTGCTGCTTCGTTGCAAGCAGCCCCCCTTTACCCTTTGTTCCAAGTTTTTGCTGTTTTGTGAAGGAAGAAGGAAAGGCTCAGATATTGGAGGGTGTTCTGATTTAACTCCTGTCACGGCTCAACTCAGCTCTGAAAGAAACACTGCTATTTTTATTAGTAGCAGTCAGAAGTGACCTTTAGAGGTTACTTCATTCAATATCACTCTCAAAGGGGTACTGTCGTAGAATCAAAGAATGGTTTGAGTTGGAAGATCATCTAATTCCAATCCACCTGCCACGGGCAGGGATACCTTCCACTATACCGGGTTACTCAAAGCCCCAGCCAACGTGGGCCTGTCATCTGTGTGTCCTGGTGTGCATGCAGTAGCCCTTGGAACAGTCCAGCCCAAACCACGACACTATATGAGACGGGACATTATTGAGCTGAGTTTCAGAAACGGTTGAGGATGGAGATTTTGTGCCTTTCAGAGCCATGCCATGTCAAACTACTCCTCTGGTGAACAAGTTTCTCTTAATGTCCAGTCTGAATATTTCAACTCTTAAAATGTACCATTTTCATTGTATCATTCAGTCTACCTTTTCCTTGTGGGCTGAAATAGCTGTTGAGCCACTTCATCTCTGGGAGTTTTCAGTCCCCTCTTTATCTTCCTGATAGGTCCTGCATACATCTGGCAGCAATAGTGTTTCGTGTGGCCTACGTGTCACTTTTTTGAGTTCCTATGAAATCAGTGTGACAGTAAGGAATGTGAATGTGTGGGATACAGAGACGAATCCGGGTGTTGTAGTGAAGGAGGAGGTTACTGTTCTTAGAGCACGGCCCTTGCCCATATGAGCACAATACCCAAAGTTTCACAGGGCTTTTCTTTCCCACTGAAGCAGCCAATGCCATATGGGTTCATCTGTTTCACTTACGTTGCCTTTGAAAGAGTCAGGGAAGAAGCAGAGGGAAACCACAGAACTGAATCCAGTTTTACTTCCATTTCTAACAAAAATTGGGACCAGGAGCATCTGAGCCCCACTGGAGATGGATGTTCCATGTTGAAGAAAGGGCTCCGATGCCCAGTGTACTTGCTGCTACATGTAAGACTGTATCCCAAGTTGCTAAGATGCGTTCCTATTTCTGCAAGAAAAGACAAGATGATTTTTATCCGATGGCTCCACTGCATTCTCCCCTTGGGCAGAGGTGCTTAGCATTCTCTAGCTTTCTCTGGTGTTCAAAAAGAGCAGGGTGCAGGGCTAAGCAGGAGCATCATTTCTGTCCTTTTGGGTCGCACAGTCGTACCTGCCGCATCTTAAATTTTAATCTGCAGTCAGTTTTTGTACAAAAAAATGGTAAAATATATTAGTGAAAGTAATAAGGAAATAAAAAAAATGTTTATGAATAACTCAGAAATGAAATGTATAGTTGCAAACTCAGATACTTTGCCTTTCATCCAAACTTATTTTTCTAGAATGCTTCATTCCATTTCACGATCTAGCAGCGTAGATCCTGAAATCTTTTTTTAATGACTACTTTTGGCATTTTAAGCACAGTATTAAGTGAGATAGTTACACGAGCTTCACGTATTCATCTCTATGATGCCACCTGCAAGAAAGGAGTCAAAAGCAGGGCTGATTTGTGTCTCTTAGCTGGCTCTCTGATGTGGGAGGTGATGACAGACATCTTGAAAGGAGCAGAAAAATAATGCCATTTTCCAGGTAACAAAAAACAGCCCTGGAAAGTGTGAGGCTGCATCAGTCAGTTTGTCAGAGATGACACTAACTGCCCTGTAAATTGGTCAAGGGGAGCTTTGGCTCATGTATGTATGCACTTTTTTTGCTTATGCTGGTGGGTGGGTGGCTGTGTGTTTTCCCTAAATGTCACTCTGATTATTTAACTATAAGTTTTTAGCATGTTTTTAAATAAAAACTGATACTGAGTAAAAGTATCTTTAATATACACAAATACTGATTTGTATAAATGCATACCTCTCTGTACCTCTAATTCATGAAAGCACAGTTCAAGTGTGTGAAAGTGCTGTTTCTCTGAGTGTTCCTTCAGACTGTAGCATACCTGCTGTCTCACTGTGCTTCAGGCTTGAAAGCTGCAGCAGAACTTAAGCAGAGGCATAACAGAACTGCTTGAAGAACCTCTACGTGAAGGCTGTTGAAGTGATAGCAGTGAATTCTGTTCCCTCCTGGTGGTACCAAGGCTGTTAAGTTACAGGAAGCCCAGGTGGAGAGCGCTTAAAAGAATTGCCCATAGCTAAGAAGCATGTGAGATGATGAAAACAATGGCACAAATGTCTCCAAGATGACAGAAGATGCCTTGTAATTTCATGCATTGAGTTCCTGGACTGTGGTCGTGTTAGGCCAACTTTCATATCCTGTGTCCACTCCGCATTTGTGTGCATGAAATACAAACTCATACACAGGAAGGGTGCAAGCAGAGGACAGCTGAACTGATACTCATGGTCTTTCTTGGGCAATGTATTGGCCAGGCATGGAAAAGGCAAGGAGGAGAAGGGTGTTTTCCCAGCAGATAGTTCTTGGGAGCAGCATGGAAAGGGCACGCGTGATTCTGATGTAACTTCTTTCCATAGAGTTGAGCAACTTCATGCTGTAGCTGGCATGGGGAAACCTGAAGATGTTTGCCTATGGGCTAGCCATCTATTGTGCAGTAGATAGTAGACACTAAGAAACAACATGCCATTCCCACCAGGTGATGTTTGCACCAGTGTTTCTTCTATGCAATACCTACTTTCGCCTTTATATAAAAGATTTTTACTAGGATGATATAAAAATAAAGGATTTTTTAAAAGGTGCCTCTTTGAGCTCATTTGTCTCTTAACCCCAACTACCACCAAAACCAAAACAGGACAAAAAAAAAATTCTAAAAATTGACTCACAAAAATCTATTCCAGCTCCACTACAGTTGAAGTTCAGAGGTCCTAAAGCTGTTGCATCTCTGAAAAGATCCCCCCATCCCATCCTCTCTCATCCTCCTTCAAAACAACACTCTAATTAAACAGAAATAGGTGTGAAAGATCCCCAAAGAACAGCAAATTGTTTTTGAGAGCCTGATAATATAGGAAAGAGTTTGCAAGTGTCCCAGAACATATAGAATAGTCAAAGACAGGACAAAGTATTAGAGGATTTGAAAGGCATCCAGAGGACACTGAGAAATCTCAGAGAAACTGTGAAAATTGATTAAACACTGAGAGAAAGATCACAGAATAGCCCTCCAAATGCCAGGAAAGCACATCATCTGAAAGATCCCCAGACGAAACAGTGGAGCCGAGCAGAAGCCAACAAAGCAACTGAGTCTACAAAAGATTTAGAGATTGTAAGTAGCCTCAAGGAAGGGAATAAAGCCTGTAAGTGCCTAAGGAAACAACACGTAGTGGTGTCAAAGAGGCCAAGAAAGAAATAGACAAGGCAAAGGACCCCCCCTCCCGCAAAGAATACCAAGGAGACTCAGTGATAACAGGAAAGTGTCAGCGATATAAAAGGAGCTCCAGAGTACCCACCAAGGGTGGCCTCAGAGAAGACCAAAAAATCCCACAAAACCTAAGGCAGAAAGCTTGAAAGTGCCCTCAAGCCTAACATTAAAGAAGGAAAAGTGACCCAAAATCTGTAAAAGATCCAGAGAACACGGTAGCTTGAAAGAGGCAAAGGAACAAGCTAGGAAGCATGAAAGAACCATGGTGAACACACCAGAGACAGTAACAAGAAAGCAGCAGACATTCTGAAAGAGCACTAGAAGAGCACGCCTGCAGCTGCCAAGAAAGGAGAGAGGCTAAAAGAGCCCCTTGGAAAAGGGAAGAAACAAGCAGGGAGGCAGAAAAAGACCCAGGAGAAAGATGACTAGCAGCTGAGATGCCACAAACCTTGAAGAAAGAGTGAAACAGCCCCAGAAAGCCCAGTTTATCTTCAGAAAAGTGGCAGGGTATGGGAGGGGGGGGTACACTGCAGAAAGACTGAAAGTGCTCCAAAGATACCTCAGTGACAGGAAGGAACAGACCAAAAGCCTTGAAAGACAACCACAGCAGCTTTGGAGAAGCTAGGGAAGAAATAGAGAGGTTGAGAGAGTCCCAGAGAGCAGAGAAGCCTTACAGAGTCTGGGGGACTAAAAGAGAGCCTGAAAGAACCTCAGAGAAGACAAAGTAGTCTCAGAGAAGCTATGAAAATAGTCTGTAGACTGCAGAGAAGGTTTAGTTGGGAGGAGCTAACTGTAATCTTCCAATACCCTCATGGGGGTTCTCAAGAACACCGGGCCAGGCTCTTCACAGCAATGCATGGTGGTAGGACAAGAGACAGACAGAAAGGTTAAGCCGTAATGAGAGGTACTGAATGGATATAGGGAAAACTTCTTCACCATGATGACAGTCAAGCATCAAGTGTTGGAAGAGGTTGGCCAGAGAAGATGCACAGTCTGTACCCTTGTAGGTTTCAAGACCTGAGTGGATAGAGCCCTGAAGAAAATAACTTGATCTCGTAGTCGAACCTGCTTTAAGCAGGAGGTTGGGCTAGTTGACCAAGCTGCATTCCAACCTGAATCCTCCGTTAATCCCCTGACTGCTACAATTAAAGAGGCATTATCTCAGGGTGCTGACTGTCATTTCCCTCTACTTCAGCTGATTTTTTAGCAGCTTGGACACCCTGTGGTGTCACTTTCCCTCTCCAGGTGAAGGCAGGTGAAGGCATCAGAAGGAAGACTGAGGGAGCTCACCTCGCGGGGTTACAGTGGAAGGACAAAAGGCAATGGTACACAAGTTGCCCCATGGCAAATCTGGCTGGACAAAAGGAAAAAAAAAATAAATTCTTGGCTCTGAAAACAGTTCAGCAGATCTGCCTGGAGAAAAAAATTGGCTGGAGGAGGAATTGAGCAACCTAATCTAGATTTGAAGGTAGGCCTGCTTTGGTAAAGAGATTGAATTAAAGAACTTCACAAGTCCTTTCAAACCTAGATCCTTCTATGACCCTACGATTTACAGACCAGGCAGTATCAGGAAGTTCTCCCTTTCACTTCCATCTGACCATTCCCTGCAAAAATGTATTTGTAACTCAATACACGTGGCCAGGCCTCTCCAGTTTCTGCTTTTTGCTGCTGGAGGTAGAGGCTCATGAGAACCAATTAATGCAATCATGCCTTCTCCAGATGATAAGCTGGTGGTCTGCACACAATACACAAGTTACCCACACGTATCTTGGGATTTTAAAGATTTTTAAGTTGTTGCTGTGTCTGGCATTTGCATGTAGCTTCCTGAGAATACAGAATTCCAACAAGCTATATTTTCACTATGACTAAGATATACTTATCACAAAAGAAAGGCTTATGCTCCATTATGAGTTATCAGCCTAAACGTAGAAAGAAATGAAAGAAACACAAAAAATTTTTCAACTTCAACTCATGCTTCAAAGCATAGCAGCAAAAACCTCTTTAAAACTTACGGCTGCTTCAGATCTACTGACACAAATTCTGAGAAAAGCCTGACTGTTTTTAAAAAAAATACACGTCAGGCAGTAATAACAATGGGAACAGATGATTCAAAGAGGCCCATGTCAGACATAAACCACTGACAGCGTCTTTTCAAGCAAAAAAAGGATGTTAGACAGAAATTCTGCAACAGCTAAGGCGGCAACAGAATCCTCCTTTACTTCTGTCCTGTGGATAGGTCCATAATGCGCAGGCAGGATCACAGAATCTTTGTGGTTGGAAGGGACTTTTGAGATCATCGAGTCCAACCACAAAAAAAACCAACCAACCAAACAAACAAAACCCCAAAACCCCCCACCAGACAGACACAAACCAACCCACAGACAGGCACAAACCAATATGTCCTCCCAGTCTTCATGTGCTTTCCAATAACGTCAATACAAGTATCATGTCTGAAGAAGGATGTCCCTACTTCCAGAAAACTCCTTTATCCCAGAAGTGTCACGTTAATGCCAGTGGAATATCTCCGATGCTTCACCACAGGGTGCTTAACTTTTAACCCAGAAAGATGAACCTTTTCCAGCTCTGCATTTGGAGGCAAGGTTAGCCCAGCCAGAATCGGGATACACATCCTACCTGACGCTCCCTCAGGATTTGAGAAAAAAACCACATTTCTCAACCCACCTGTGTTGCTTTTGCCACGCTGTTCACTAAAAAGCTACCTGCTTTTCCACTCTGCAGCTCTTCTCCTAGAGCTTCCACAGCAAAATCCAGCATTGGAATGGGCTGCCCAGGGAGGTGGCTGAGGCACCATCCCTGGAGGTGTTCAAAAGACAGGTTGACATGGTCCTCAAGAATATGGTTTAGTGATTTTTTTTTATTGCTTATTTCTTATTTATTTTCTTGTCAGGGTTAGCTTGATGGTTGGACTAGATGATCTTTAAGGTCCCTTCCAACCTAGATGATTCTATGATTCTATGAAAAGGCTGGCGTGAGTGACGTTCACAACTATGGCCTCTCTTACGAGTCCTAGAGCTGCTGCAGTTCTTATTCCCTCTTTGCATCAGGCAATCCCACCTCATGCATGGTAGGAATGGTCACTTCTGCTGCCCTGCCTGGCACTAACAGGTTATCAGTTCTTTAAAATGCTATGTGTAAGGAATTAAATGCATGTACAGGCTCACATATCTGTTTCACAGGGAGATCATGGGCTGTAAAAACTCCTCGGTACAGCAGAGGTCCACTGCTATCCAGGAGGACAGGCAACAATTAGAAGAACTAAAACCCAAAGTTGTGGGGTGCAGAGCAGTGAGGAGCGCTGCACCTGCGCACTGCACCACCATAATGCTACCCACACCACACAGCACCAAAAAGACTGCCAGCACCTGCACAACTGACCGGCAACAGTCACCACAAGACCTCCACAACACCACCAGCACAACACCACCAGCACAGCACCACAGCTCCACCACAACACCTCCACCACCACAACACCTCCACAACACCTCCACCACCACACCACCTCCACCACCAGCACTCCACACCACCTCCACAACACTTCCACCACCACCACACCACCACCACCACCTCCACAACATCACCACCACAGCACCAAACCACCAAACTACCATCACCACACCACCACCATCACCACAACATCTCCACAATACCACCACACCAGTACACCACCACCACATCACCACCACCAGCACCACACCACCTCTACCACACCACCACCACAATACCTCCACCACAACCACACTGCTGCCACCACCACCAAACCACCACCACCACAACACCACCATCATCACCACAACACCTCCACAACACCAGGACACCACCACCAGCACACCACCACACCTCCACCACCACAACACCACTACCACACCTCCAGCACCACCACCACACCACACCACCACACCTCCACCACAACACCTCCACCACCACTACCACCACAACACCACCATCATCACCACAACACCTCCACAACACCACCACCCCACCACCACACCTCCACCACAACACCTCCACCACAACACCTCTACCACAACACCTCCACCACCAGCACCACACCACCACTACCACCAAACTACCATCACCACACCATCACCATCACCACAACACCTCCACAATACCACCACACCACCACCACACCTCCACACCAGTACACCACCACCACCAGCACCACACCACCAGCACCACAACACCTCTGCAACACCTCCACCACCACCACACCACCTCCACATCGCTGCCACCACCACCACAATATCACCACCACACCACCAAACCACCACCACAACACCACCATCATCACCACAACACCTCCACAACACCAGGACACCACCACAGCACCTCCACAACACCTCCACCACCTCCACACCACAA